TTAGTGCAACTTTTGTCAAACACCCTTTTCTCACAGGATTACAAATTGCCTTTTCACTAGATCATGAATTGTCTCCCTTTATAGCATCATTAGAATAGGTCCTTCCAACATTTTCCGAATTCTATCAAATGTAGGAATCCTCTTGTTCTACAAGCAGTTCTTTCTCATAGCCTTGAAGTCTTATTAATCTGGACCGGGAGACGACCTGCTGCACAACTACTAACAAGGAACTTGCCTTTAGAGCGTTTCTGAATTATTTTCATTCCAATTTCTTAAATAATTCCCTTGTTTTGCTAGCCTGTATTCTCATGTAACATGCTAAAAATAATATTTATAGGTAAAGCTTTCTCAGTTTATATTTACTTTTCATTCCATTCCCATACTTCACCAATAGTTTGGCTTGGTATAGAACCCAAAGTTCAAAGTCATTTCCTCTAGGAATTTTCAGGGCATTGTTTAATTTTTAATAACCAGTCCTGTTGATGAGAAGTCTGTTGCCAGCCTGATTCTTGTTCCTTCATAGGCACTTGACTTTTCTCCCTGGAAGCTTTTACCATTGCTTCTGTCCTTAAATTTCATGATGTATCTACGTGTACACTTTTCTCCCTTTTTCCTGCTGAGTACTCAGTAGCTCTTCTACACTTGCAGACTTGTATCTCCTTTTAGTTTTGAAACTTTTTTTCTTTTTAAATGTGTTTCCTCCAATCACTTTCTCTAGTCTTTCTGGAACTTTTACTATTCTGATGTCGAAAACCTAGATTCTTGTAACTTTCCTATCTCTCTCCCTCTACTTCCCCCCCCCTTTTCTCTAATCTTGTAGAAATGCAAAAGCGCCTATTCACTGACCTTACAGGCAATGAAACAAAGAAATGAGTCTCACATAACTCATGTTTATCTCTCCCATTTAAAGGCTTACCAGGCATCGGCCTCACTGGGCTTATGGGGTGTTACCTATGATTGTGCATGTTCATTCCTACTACGAGCCAAGGTCTGCTCTCAGGGCTGGGTATACAATAATGAACAAAGAAAAAAGTTCATGACCTCCTGGACTTACTTTGCAGTAGAGAGAGACAGACAATAAAAAAAATTAAAATATTACATGTCAAGCATAATTCTGGAGTCAGCAGCTTTCTGATTTGGCAGGCAGCTTTTTGCTCACAGATAGGCAGCCAGTCCCTTGGTGGTCTGCTCTTGCAGTGTGACTTTGGGAAAATTATTTGTGAGTATATTCTGATATTTCTGACCTTTCATAATACTGCAAAATATGTCATACCCAGTAAGAAACTATCTTTATCCTTAGAGTGAATTCTATGAATGCTATTCTCTGCAACTGTACTTGACTGCTACAATTTTCACAAAAACAAATTGTACTTTTTTTTTTAGCAAGAAGCATCCTTGGTATATTTCCACCTCCTGAGATCAAACTGCAGAAGCAAATCTCACCTTTGCTTACTAGATAGGGACTTGGACAGATGAGAATTCCAAGCTGATAGCCAAACAGAGGTATTCACTATACCAGAATGTAACAATGGGACGAAAGATAACAAATCTGAATCACCTCCAGTAATCTGAGTTTTACAGTGCTTTAACAGAGGAGGAACTGTTTTGTTAGAATGTTTTCTATAATAGTTTAAGTCTTTTTTTTTTTTGAGACAGAGCCTCAAGCTGTCCCCCTGGGTAGAGTGCCGTGGCATTACAGCTCACAGCAACCTCTTACTCCTGGGCTCAAGCGAGTCTCCTGCCTCCGCCTCCCAAGTAGCTGGGACCGCAGGCGCCTGCCACAACGCCCGGCTATAGTTTGAGTCTTATACTATCGAATTGCTGCATTTTAGGACATGGTTATTGATAGATTTGTCTGGAGATTATGAAAGGCAATAGTTTACTTTGAATAGTTCACATTATAATTTTTTGTTTGCTTCTAGATAATGCAAAAATATACTGCCTTAGTCAGCTCAGCCTACCATAACAAAATACCATAGACTAGATGGCTTAAACAACAGAAATTTATTTTCTCACAGTTCTAGAGGCTGAGAAGTCCAACATCCATGTGCCAGCTGCATTCCTGGTGAGGACTCTCTTCCTAGCTTGACTTCTTTTTGCTGTGTCCTCAGTTGAAGGAGTTCTTCCTCTAGCCTATGAGTGCCCCATCATTGTGGCCTCGTCTAACCTTAATTACTTCTTTATGGACCTTATCTCCAATAGTCACCATGAGTTAGGGCTACAACATATGAATTTTGTGTGGGACATGGTTTAGGTCATAACACTTTCCAGAATTTTGTTATTATAAAATACAAAAATATTGGCTGGCGTGGTGGCTCACACCTGTTGTCCTAGGGCTTTTGGAGGCTGAGGAGAGTGGCTCACCTGAGCTCAGCTGAATTCCAGACCAGCAAAAGATCAGCATGAGCCGGAGTGAGCCAGAGTGAGACAAAAAACAAAGCTGGGTATTGTGGTGGGCCCCTGTAATCCTAGCTACTTGGGAGGCAAAAGGCAAGAGAATCGCTAAAGGAAGAAAGAAAAAAAAATTAAAAAAACCCCCTTCAAACTAAGATAAGTGAAAGCCAGCTGAAATTGAAAGCAAAAATAAAAAATATAAAAGTATTTCACAATATTATTGATAAGAATAAAAACTAACATTTATTTGGAAATTAATGAGTCAAGCACTGTGGTGCTTTGTGTTTTCTTGTTTTATCCTCACAAACAATGAAATTCTATTATCTACATTTTATAGATGAGAAGCTAAGTAATGTGCCCATGATCACACAGGTAGCATAGTAAAGACTCCAATCCAGACAATCGCATTAGCCACTACATTATAATTTAATGTATAAAATATTGGTACGTTATATATAAGTAGGAAGAGTTGTTCATTAAGAATGCTACCACCGGCTCAGCGCCTGTGGCTCAAGTGGCTAAGGCACTAGCCACATACATCTAAGGTGGTGGGTTCGAATCCCCAGCCCAGGCCCACCAAAACAACAATGACAGCTGCAACCAAAAAATAGCCAGGCATTGTGGTGGGCGCCTGTGGTCCCAGCTACTTGGGAGGCTGAGGCAGGAGACGCGCTTGAGCCTAGGAGTTGGAGGTTGCTATGAGCTGTGATGTCACGGCCCTCTACCCAGGGGGACAGGTTGAGGCTCTTTCTCAAAAAAAAAAAAAGAATGCTACCTCCATTCTTAATACTGGAGACCCAGTAGGTACCATAAACTGGCATGGTTACATGTGAGATAAGCCACACCCTAAATATATTACATTATGGTGGGCAATGAGAGGAAGAGTGAGCTCTCTCATCATGCAGGCACTGCACTCTCAACACCAACAGCTGAGTCCGTTTCCCCACAACCTCACCGACTCTGGGTTTTATATTTAAGTGAAAGGTCACTCACAACTTCAAAATACAAATGTGAAAATACTGTTATGTCTCATTTACTATAAGAAAAATCCTCCATACAGTCATTGTAGCCTAGTTTATTCACAAGCCATTATCAAGATTAAGCCGTGATAGCAAGTTCACAAGGTTAAATGCAAACCAGATTAAGTCTAAAATTTGATGACACTTTGATCTTAAAATACTTCAAGAAAACTCAAAATAAAAAACCCATAAGGGAAAAACGTACACAAAGTACTTATAAACATTCTGATAGTGTCAGATATGATTTACATCGTCTGGATTGGACCAGTATAACTTTCAGGAATTTAGGTCCTTCGAAAGTATAATGGTATACTAGAGAAAAAGTAATTACATGCTTCACTTTCAGAACTACTGTTAATGTGAAATGAACGTGTGAAACTATCAAAAGTTCAAAAAGGAGAAAACCATAATTTGCTTTTCTAAAAAAAGGTAAATATATTCTTAGATTGCTTAGTTCTAGAGACAGGCTGAGTACTATGATGTTCTTTGAAGCTTCATAGTATCTGAAATACCTGTTAGCTGCAAGTTTGTTCAATGACAGCATGCGGCAAAACTTAAAAGAACATTTTTTAAACTACATTTAAAAACGTAAACTTATGCATCTTATAGTTTAACCGCGAAAATAATTAGGATGGGGGCGCAGACATCTCTGTAGAACAGTAGATGCAATCGATCCCTCCTAGTTTTTGTCGCTCACCCCTTTAAATTTTGACAAACACCTAATAGGGACACTCTCTATTTTCTAACTGGTAATTGCATTACAATCGCCTGGAGGGACTTAAAAAGCAGCTCCCGTTCCAGCCCTTCCCATGCTCCCTACCGACTCGGTAGGTCTAGGGCGGGCCTGAGCACCTGGATTTTTAACCAGTGATGCTGGTAAATTGTCACACTCATGGATGTTTGAGAGCCACTTACTTAAAGGAGGCTGACCCCTTCCAGGAAGCCGGACTTCCATAATAGAACCCTTCCGGGCGAGGCCCGGGCACCTGCGGTAAGGTGAGTTCCCCCAGGTGACTGTGATGCGGGGTCAAGGGCGGGAGGCCCCCCGCAAGCTCCCGGTGTCAGCCCCGGGGCCACTGCGAGGATATACCCTTTAGTGGGTTCTCAGGGGCGGAACTCGGCCCTTCCCGGAATCCTCGGCGGGGTCGCGGAGGCCACGCCGTACGCGGGCTTTCCCCCCGGGGCGCCCCGCCGGCCCGGCTTAGCAGGTCCTCTTCCGCTCGGCCCCGGGGTCGCGCGCTCGCATCCGCCGGCCTCGCCGAGCCCCCCACGGAGGGGCCGCGGGGCGCAGGCCGAGGTCCGGGGCCCCGGCTGCAGCGGTCACAGCCGCCGGGCGGCCCCCGGCCCGCGCAGCCTCCGCTCCGGC